CAAGATGCAGACGCGCGACGTTACAACCTCCGCCATCGAAATGTCACCTACCACCCTGGGGACCGAGTGTGGGTGTGGATCCCTGTCCGGCGACCAGGCTTATCCGAAAAACTCCTAAGCCGTTATTTTGGACCGTACAAGGTTCTTAGACGAATCACAGATCTTACCTACGAGGTATTTCCGGACGGCGCAGCGTCTTCTCGTCGACAGCTTCGGCCCGAAACCGTGCATGTCCTTCGGCTGAAGCCCTACTTCACACAGTAGCCCTTGTGGTTTCACGTGCTACGACATGCCGTGACATTGCGTTGCCGCTGCTGTTTGTGTTCTCGTGTGTTTTTGTGCCCTTTCTTTTTGCGCTTAGCGGAAGCGTTGGCGAAACTTCCTCATTTGCGCTGCGAGTAGTGGCACTCTCCCTCTTTTGGTTCTCTATATCTGCGCGTGTATACCTTCATTTTTTTTTATTTACGAGCATCGAGTCGATGCTTTCAAAGGGGGGGACTATTGCCACATGGTTTGCTTGGGTGAGATCGAAGAGGAAAGAAGACAAAGACGATCTCTCTGAGCCGCTGCTTGAGTAGTCGACTAAACCAGCCCATTTTTTATCAAGTTTGTCGAGAGTAACGTGACAATATACTCAAGGTCGGCGCTCGCTCGCTCAGTTGCCGCTCGTCGGTTGGTTTGTACGGCGCGTCGACGTCCAAGGTCGCGGTGAAATGAATTCGAACGAATCCACAAACACAATGATCGACGTCCCTTCGACCAGCGCCGCCCTTTCGCATACGTGTGTACGTGTTCACTCATTTAACACCCCCTCCTACAACCACGTTAACCAATTTAGCCATCGACCCAAGTAAGTCGCAATTTAACACCCCATTTCACAACCACGTTAACCAATTTAGCCATCGACCCAAGTAAGTCGCACTTTAACACCCCGTTAACCAATTATATGGTCCGCATCCTCCTCAGTGTTCCCCCGAGAGAGCTGCGGGCAATTTTTTTTCAAAGGATTGGTCCGGCGGCTCTGCCTAATAAAATATGTTGAGGCCACTACTAAGTTGCTGTCTTTCGGAGCAGTGAAGGTCCCGATAAACCCTAATGCCGGATGTTTTCCTTTACACGAGAATGCTGAAATATGATTACTTCATTCTCAAATAGTCGGAACACTTCGAAGGCGTTCTGGCCACGTAGAAACAATTCTTGCTCTGTGGTTATGGGTAGCTGCGTTCCATTTCTCAAGGCGAATGTCTTTGCACCAAAAGCAGCGTGGCAGAGCAAATTTACCTTCGCATTACAAGAAAAAAAGGTTTTGTTCGTGACTACTTTTTCTTTGGATGTAAAAATAAATCAGAGTTACATAAAAAGTACGGCTGGCCGAGCATCTTAATGGATACATGACAAAGATTATGCTTATTCTGCGACAATCATTGGTCTCTCACCCTTGTTTCAGAACATCATTTGTCGCAGATGACAAAACTTGATTGGAAGATAATTTTAATGCAGGTGAATAAGGACCATGTAGAACGATATCACGAGATTTTTGCTCATGCATTCGTATCTACGCTTTGTAAAACAAGCCGGACTTAGGTATATCCAAAATGCATGCGTATACCCTCATTTTTACGTGAACACAATGAGCGCAGAGAAACGGTAGAGCCATGTTTATTTTTAGGCAAGAGCATGGGAAACGTAACTGATCCAGCAAGGTCATTGTTTAGAAGATGGTATGGGATGAATGTAACACCTTTTAGCTTCTTGAGGCAGGTGTCTTTAGCGGTACCTTGCCTGGCTTCGTTAGTGGAACACGATAAACATGCGGCATGAAATGTCAGTAGATGAGTTGTTTCGAGAAGTAAATCAATGCATAAAACCTAAAGAGATCCATTTTATATAAAAACAGACCTTTCACAGAGCAGGTAGATTGTTTTTGCCTAATTTGATTACATACGATTGTTTTTTTCTTTTTTTTTGAACTTCTACGTAGCCGTGTTGATGCAATTCGGAAAGTACTTTTTTGAACATTTTCAATTGCTCCTGTTTCAGTAGGGATGAAAACCCAAAGCAATTCTTTTTATTTTAAAAGTCTGGCTCTAGGCGTAATAATTTTTTATTCAAAAATACATATACAAATTTACCTCGTGTATAAAGTCCAGTAGAGAACGATGGTGAGGTCCCCGGATTTAGCGGTCAAAGTCAGGTGGTCGGCCAGGCCCGAGACCTGTTGCACGGAGGTGAAGGTGCAGGATATTTTTCAGATTTTAGGCACCTATATATGCACAATACAAGAAGTCATACGGAATAAAAGATACTTAAACATACTCTTGCTATGGTAGTAGGATTCACCTGTATCTATCTAACCAAGCTCGGACTAAATATTGCCCGGTAAAGATTATCCTAATTGAGTACATAGTTACAGGAATTGTTTTCGTTCAGTGCTGCTATGTGATAACTAATCAGTGCCCATTCGATACCGCTGAGTAAGCTACTGCCCAAAGCTTGCTATACAAGAGATACCACATGAACGCTACGTGCAGCCCTCTGTAATTTCATGTATCAGTTGACCAAGAGCGATAGAGAGAAAGCGCTTTATTTGCGTCCGTCAGATAGTATGGGTGATAGAGGTGAGGCACAGCTCCCCCTTTCACTGTGTACTTCTCCCTGGAGGTCAGCCAAGAAACACTAAGCAAACCTTGGAAAAGCCTAGCCCAGCCATGACCAACTGCCCGCAAGCCCCGCTGTGGTCCAGCCATTTGATCTAGGGCAAGCAGACAAACTTTTCGCTCGTAAGCAATTCACTTGTGCTTCCGCGGCGACTGGTGATGGGTTCCTTTGCTTTCACTCTGGCGTTCCAGTGCGCGCATACTTTCCTGTATGTACACTAGAGAGAACTCTGGCATAGCACCAGTGTTTGTGCGAGCCGTAATGCACGGTACTTCAGCGAGCATGGAAATCATGGATATAACACGGGTTTGTCTAATCTTCGTCCTTCTCGTTCCGCTTGGCTTCGCGAGGCTTGAAACTGCTCTGTTATAAAAAAAAAAAGCTAATGTTCAGCAGTTGTACTTCACGATTTTAACCTTCTAGGCTTACCATTTCAAATCTGCTCACGAAGTTCAAAACATCCTGTTCTTTTATTCGAAACAAAATATAAACACCACCGTAACAAGTGCGTTCGAAGCCTGCGAGCAAGAACTCTATTCCACTTTATTACCGATCATTCCCATGATTATTAACTTATCGCAGTGCTGGATTCCACGCTTGTTAATTTTACGAAACTCCATGAGTACGTGCTTAGTTGAAGTGAGCGAACGAGAGACTGACAAGTAAACAAGGATACGCAAGCAAAGTGCGGGCTTTCGAACTTGGCAAGCAGCCGTCAGAGAGCGCCATGGTTTCTTTTTCCACGTGCTCCCGTGGCCTCCACAATTCTAAACGCAATAGCGTTAGAGAGCTCGCGTCGCAGAAATTCCACCGTTGGTGTCGCCATCGTTGGTTGTGAGCGAAAAATTGTCCGTGAGAGAAAAATCGAGAAAGAAGCAATGAATGAAATTCTCGGTCCTATTGCAGATCGAACCCAGGCCGTTTGCGTGGCAAGCAATGTCTTGACACAAAGCTCCGACGTTTTTTTTTTTATTTTCACAAAGCTACGACATTACTTGCAGCTGCTTGAGGAAAAAAAAAAACACTACATAAATGCCGTATAGTGGAAGGAGCCTCCTTAACGCATTTTGTTCGACAGGTGTCACCACGAAAACGAGCCCATTCAGCGATTTGTAGGCGCATTTGGAATGCCATCAAAATACGTCGAAAAAGGTCTGTATAGTGCAGCCATCGCTGCTGAAAACACACAGGAACTTTCAAACAGCTCTAAAGGTGGACAACTATGCCTATCTAGCGGGAAAAATATCATGCCTTTCTAGAGGTGTTGATCATGCAAATAGCAAACGTTAGATAATGTGCTGCCATCTGTGAGGCATTTTCCGATATGGCGAGCGCGCGGCGTGTATCTTGGAGGCCATGCGACTTTTGTTTTAGGTCACAAACCTGTATGTACTATCAGCGTCAAATGAAACACGAACAGTGGAAAGCCTTCACAATAATATAGTGCGTGCCGTCCACTTATCCCTACACACATGCACACACGCACAGGCACAAACAGGCACGCATGTATATGCGCAAAGCTCCCAAACAGGATGCGCGCGCCTGTCACTGGTGATAACTGGACGGCACGCACTACACTATCGCCAAAGCTTGCCGCTGTTCGGGTTTCATTTGACGCTAATAGTACCATTCGCACGCACGCACACGCACGCACGTGTGTCTGTGTCTGTCTGCCATCTGTGAGAAATTGTGAAAAACGTGCTTCGATTACAGCAAAGCGCCGTTCTAGCAGAGCGAAGAGGTCACACTGCGCAGTCACTGCATTACTATAGATACGTCGCGCTTGCGCGCGCGCGCGCGTTTGTGTGTGTGCATGTGTGTGTGTGTGTGTGTGTGTGTGTGTGTGTGTGTGTGTGTGTGTGTGTGTAACAAAACATAATAATAAGTATGCACAAAGCGGTTGAAGGACGCGCCAGTGGCCGGATTTCACTATCGCGTTCAAATCTTGAAGGCGAACCTTAAGGGTCCCCCAACTTTTTGACGAGGCTTTACTTATCTAAGCAGAACGGGTTTTCATTGCAAAAAGAAAAGAGCAGTCTGTGCATGCTTTGATTATCTAAAACTCGGGCCACAGAATCACGTTGTCATTTTACCTAGTAATATTTGCTACATGTCGAAGATTTGCATCTCTGGTTGGGGGTGCTTTAATATGGGAGAAGGTATGCGTGTTGTTATCGTAATCTTTTTCACCTTTTTTCATTTTCATTTTTTTAAAGCGTCACATTTTACAACGTCACGTAGGCTGTGAAAGCACTCTTGACTCCGCAGGAATGTTTTAACCACTATTGCACTGGACCACATGATTATTTATAAACATCTGTTTTCGTCTTGTCTTTTTTCAGACGAACTTGAAGTTCAGCACGTTTCTAGACACGACATTGCGTTTGCAAATGATTGTGACGGGAGTTGTTATTTTTCAAGTGAGTGACCCGCAATAATTTAGATATGATGCATGTGACGATGACTTTCACACCACTTTATACAAGTCCCGGTATGTTCCAGATTTTCACTAAGGTGCAGAAGTGCAGGTCTTAGAGATGTGTTTAGAAGTGGCATGGCCATACTTATAAATGTTCATGTTAAACTAGCTGATTAGACTCGAAATAAATCACCACATGTTCCAGCACTAATAAACGACCATGTGCTTTATAGACCTCGTATTCACTCCCCCTCAAAACTTTAAAATAGAAAAAGATCAGTTGCAAAGGGCGTCAAAATTGGTCTAGTGACCAAGGCATTCGGCTGCTGACCCGCAGATCACGGGATTGAATCTCGGCCGTGGTGGCCGCATTTTCGGTGGAAGCGAAAATGCTTTAATCCCATGTGCTTAGATTTACGTTCATGTTAAAGAACTCCGGGTGGTTAAAATTTCCGGAGCCCTCCACTATGGCGTCACGGTGTCTTTCAGAGTCATATGGTGGTGTTGGGATGGTAAACCCCCGCATATATACATATAAGGCAGCCACGTTACGAAAACTTTTTTCTTTCCGAAATACTCTAGCAGTTCGCTGTTTTCAATGCAGTAAATCACCACGATTTTTTTTTTCGAATGCGTTTGAGATGATGGAGAAAATGGCTGGGACGTTTGGCATGAATTGACCCACAATAAATGCTTCCCAAAATGCACGTATACGTAATGAGAGATAAACTGGAACAACCATTTTCTTGTTTAAATATAATTACTGAAATTGTTCTCGGGACTCAAGAAATGAAAATTAACTGACCCTTCTATACCAAACGCGTGTACTCATAAATTTCTGTTGTGCCTAACAAAGAATGCCTTAGGGAAACACACTGCCCAAAAAAGCTGCATTATACAATAAAAATAATTATTGTGAAACAGAGAGCGTTTTCAACTAGCTTTATTTATGTCATGGGGCCTAATTAGCACACTGCCCTTCATGCACAATGAGGCAGCACACCATAAAGTATTATTGTGGTTAAATATTGGCAAAGCTATTGCCTTAGTGGAACAAGCCATCGAAGAAATTTGTCATAATTAAGTAGAAAAACCGATGTATCGATTGAGGACGCATTATATTTGGAAGCGGTGGACATCGTTGCATTGAATAATGCTTCTTGGTCAATTTCTGCTGCCTCACGGAGTGTCTGTGTACCAATGTGCATGAATGAATGTCATGGTTCGAAGGAAACAAAATGAGAGGACGTTTGACATTAATTAAGATTTTACTCTTACTCAGATTTATCTATTTTAGGAAATGTTTGTTTCCAAAGCAATGTACACAAATTACACTTGCAGAAGCAACAACGACAACAACAATTTCTTAATATCTATTGCAGAACTCGGAAGAGTCATTCATCAAGAAACCGTGGAACGATACTTCCGTCATGCTTAGCGACACGCTGACAAATCTCAATTCATATGTAAATGGTAACAATATATTTCGCTACGACGACGTTGTCGTACTCATCACAGGGTAAGAAACGAACTATAACATATCTAATCATAATGCTGTGGTAGGGTCAAGTAAGGTATTTTGCTGCTTTTCTGCAATGGTGGTCACTTCGGAAATTTAGACCACCTATGGTTCTTTAACATGCACCCAAATCTGAGCACAATGATCTACAACATTTTCGCCTCTATCGAAAATGCAGCCGCCACAGCCGGGATTCGATACCGCGACCTGCAGGTCAGTAGCCGAGTACCTTAGCTACTAGACCACCATGACGGGGCAGAATATAAAGGAGTCATCAAGAAGCGACCATACGAGTTTCTTTCAAATAACTGCACAATGTGTGCATACCGGCATCTCTCCTCAGTGCAACAGTTATTCCGACGACGTATGAAATGACTAGACAAATCATTGAAGCTTAATTCATGGGTATTTTCGGTGATTCGTGCATTAGCGTTCCCGCTTTTTGTGCGTTATTGTGTCGTTTCTTCAATATTCTCCAGGGTGCGCTATACTGTTAACAGTTATAATTAATCATCAAGAACAAGAAGTGCCACTTGCAGTATAACTTGATTGTACACTTACTTCCAAAGAGATGGTCCTGAAAAAAAAAAGGCCATCGTTAACTGGAAAGTATAGTTCAGATAAACAAGCTTATGAATTGGGTACATTGCAGCTATATTTCTCTACCGGATGTTTCGAATTATTCTTGCAGACTTGACTTGGCTGCGAGTTACGGTGCTAACCGAGCTCCTGGCAAAAGTATAGCAGGTGAGTCTAAAAAACGCTGGAACACACTTCACGCACTAGCTTTTACTCAATATAGCACACTGACTTTTATGTGAGCTCACCAGGTATTATTGTTGCGAACGTGACGTCACTGCAATTGGATGCTTTAGCTGAGGGCTTAGAACCTTTTTTCTTATGTGGTTCTTAAATGAAAAAGAAGAGAAAAATGAGCACCGTAACTGTCTACATCAGGTGCGACACCTCAAAAGTAGCTCACAAGGGATGAGGGTAAGGACGGATTAAAAAGATATGATTAAAAGGTATATTAGATAGATGAAGGAGAGAGCGAGGCGCAGGGACAGCGAGCGACGGAAGCAAAGAGGAGATAGGAAAGATGGAAACGGTCGCAGGAGTCCGAGGACGGGACACCACTCGATGAGAGCTCTTGTCGGTGTCAGGAGATGGCGTAGGGCGAGCCCAGTCGGCCAGAGCTGCGCTGTCGTCGGGATCGGCGGCAGGAGATGGAACAGGGCCAGCACAGTCGGCCAGAGCTGCACTGTCTTCGAAGATTGTGAGGGCACAACCGGTTGGCATGGAATCCAGCGAGCGAGTGTTAGAACCCGCACAACTCAAACCAGTGTATCCTTACATATGAATTCATTAAGCACATGCCTTTGCAGGGCTTGTGAAGCTGACTAAGAAAGAGAGAGAAAGATGAGAACATTTATTGCACAAAAAGAGTGAGTTTGGAAGACATATAGCATGACCCCGCTATATATATATATATATATATATATATATATATATATATATATATATATATATATATATATATATATATATATATATATATATTGTAGGCGAAAGTGAGGAACGGTAGAAGTTTATCCCAGTTTCTGTGATCCGGTTGAATGTATACGGCTATCATGTCGGCAAGGGTTCGATGAAATCTCTCGGTCAGACCATTTGTTTGAGGATGGTAGCTAGACGCCATCTTGTGTGTGGTACCAGAAACGCGAAGCAGAAAACGCGAAGCAGAAAAGCGTAGCAAAGTACGTGGGTTCCTGCTCTCCATGCCAACTTCGCAAACTTCCGACATCTCCCCCAGCTGGTCAGTTACAGCCAATGACGTGCCCTACAACACCTTTCGAGGTCGTCGGTGTCGATCTTTATGGACCCCTTCCTGTTACTGGTGCTGGAAATAGATGGATAGTCACCGCCGTAGACCATATGACACGCTACGCCGAGACAACTTCAGTAGCTACTGGTTCAGCATCGGAAGTTGCTGACTTCGTCCTTCAGGCCATAATACTACGTCATGGTGCACCTCGTGTACTTCTGAGTGACCGTGGAAAGGTGTTCTTATCACAGCTTTTAGGTGAAGTTCTTCGCGTTTCTGGTACCACACACAAGATGGCGTCTAGCTACCATCCTCAAACAAATGGTCTGACCGAGAGATTTCATCGAACCCTTGCCGACATGATAGCCGTATACATTCAACCGGATCACAAAAACTGGGATAAACTTCTACCATTCCTCACTTTCGCCTACAACACCGCTGTTCAGCGCACAACAGGCTACTCACCGTTTTATCTCGTTTACGGACGTTCACCTACTTTCTTTATCGATGTTTCCTTCTTCACCAGCAATGGCCCTACATCACCATCTTCTTGCGAAGAATATATTTCTCGCCTTGCCCAGTGCCGCCAGCGCGCTCGTATGAACACGGAAGCTACGCAACAAGCAAGGAAGGCCGTCTACGACACCTCTCATCGTGTGGTATCATTCCGACCGGGTGACGAGGTGCTGCTATTGACACCAATTCGCACACCTGGTCTCTGCGACAAGTTCCAGCCTCGATTCATCAGCCCATATGTTGTTTTAGAGCAGACTTCACCTGTCAACTATCGTGTGACGCCTCTTGTCGTGCCAACTGACCGTCGTTACCGCAGCACCGAAATTGTACACGTTTCCCGCATGAAGCTTTTCACACGACGTTCCTCGTCACCATGACTACCCGCCCGCAGCGGCCAGGCTGGCCGCTTCCACGGGGGGGGGGGGGGGGGGGGAATCAGTGTAGGCATCTATTATGCGCTTCATCCTCATCTGAACAACAGTAAATCATCATCATATGTTCTGGCTGACAATCATCATCTGCTTGGCACGAGCGCTTCTTTGTCGGGTCCGTTGCGCTTGTTCGTTCCCGAGTTCACGGCCAATAAACCTCGCTACAACCGAGTCGTCATAATATATATATATATATAGGCAGGCATGGTGGTTGAGTGGCCGTAGCGTTGCATATAGTCCAGTAGATCCTGCGTGAGCGGTCACAACGTGGTTTTTTTCGACGTTTCGGCCTAGAGTCTGTCTGGCCTTCATCAGGAATCCTGATGAAGGCCAGACTCTGGGCCGAAACGTCGAAATAAACCACGTTGTGACCGCTCACGGAGGATGTACTGGACCATATATATATATATATATATATATATATATATATATATATATATATATATATATATATATATATATATATATATATATATACATGGTGTCACAACTATACTTAGTCGGAGTATAAACGCATGCCGACACACTACGCAACGACCACGCGATCAAGCATAAAGCTGACCGTTTGCTGGAGTGACTAAATTATTTTTTGTGTTCTAATATTTGCTTATTTAGGCCACTTTCAATAGCAAAATTTTTAAGCAACAATTATGAGTCAGAAATTATAATGCGAAAGTTGTTCATCGGGTTTCAAGACATCCAATTAGAAAGCTTCCAGCTTTATATCTGCTAATTTTTAACGTTTCTTTGTTAACTACAAATGCCATAGAAATGTAGAATATACCACGCGACAAGCCCGCTCGCGCGCCCTCACGCACGATGAGTTTAGTGCTCCCTAAATATGCTGCTGAAACACGTGTAGTGAAGAATGTTACGCTCATGAGGTTTGACAATCACTAATAGTTACGGAATTGAGGTAATGAAAAAGCCATTGAATCGTTATTTCGCACTTCGCAGGGTACGCGCATATCGGAACTGCTTGCACTCGGAACAAAGCTGGGATTGTGGAGGACGTCCCACGGACGTTCAGCAGCGCACACACCATGGCCCACGAGATCGCACATTTGTGAGTTACGTCTAGCTCAAATCAAGTTGTTACCTTGCGTATTCAGAATGTGAAATATTGCAGCCACTTTGCAGGACACTATTTGATTTATAAGCACGTTGTTTTTTTATCCCACCTTTTTTTTCTACGTCTATGCACGAGTCCCTGGAATGCGTCGTTCTGCGCAGAGAAGCACATTAAGCGTACACCAGCGCATATTTGTTTTACATGCATTTATGCAGTGCCATATCAGACGCTACAGTATAGGTGATTAACAAGTTACATAAGTGAAACATGAAATTAAGACGATTGGCCACAAATCTGCATGTTACACTGCAAATGTCGTCGAAAGACGACAGTCTTGCGTCTAGAAAGGGTGAACAAAACGTTTATTTGATGTTCTGGGCAAAAAAAAAATTTGGTGAATGGTTTTCTGGAAGCACAGCGTTAAAGTGCATGCGTGGAGGCGAACTAGCGCATCGAGGCACGTTATCGTCTTTAAAAGACAATAGCAACTAGAAGAATGAACATTGACACCCTACGTGCTTTACTCTCTCATGATTGATGTGATCTAGTTTCAAAGATAAATGGGGTCACCCGCGCTTGTCCCAGTCCACGCCACACTGCTGAAAGCCTCGCAAATGTTTTGACCACTCTGCTAAGATTACACGCAGGGCACCACTAACGAAGCCCATTTTAGAGTAGCAGCGATAATACTGAGAAAGATTCGAGAAAGCGTGCAAAAAAAAAAAACAATGCATTTCACGGAGGATAACATTACCGACGGCCGACTAATGTGGCCGCCTCTTTCAGTAAAGTGCGTGTATTGCTTGAACTTTTCATTTCGTAGACACAAGACCACCGAATAAATTATTTCGTCTTTAACCGCCCAGCGACCACGTGAAAATATTCTACTGAAGTGACGAGTAAAGAAATTCAAAAATAACGAAAACGCTCCGGAGATAAAACAGTCAACGACAATTGTTAAAATGGATGCATTTTGTTTGTTTCAGCGTTTAAAAACTAATAAAACACATAGAAACACACCGCATAAACAAATGGCCTCGTTCTTTTGCTTATTAAAGGAACCCTCAAGGAGCCACATTTTTTCAAATTAAAGTAAGGAGGCGTCGCGTTCGAAATGTCATCACAATTACGGCTGTCATACGTTGCAGCGCTGCAAGCCACAGGTGCACCACGAATAAAAAAAAATCTCTTCTCGCCTCCGGGGCCCGCCTCGATGGATCACTGACTATAGTGTGCTCGGCTGCTGGCCCCAAGGTCGTGAGTTCGATCCTGGCCACAGAGGTCGCATTTCAATGGAGGCGAAGTTGTAGAAGCCTGTGTTCTGTGCGATGCGAGTGCTGATTAAAAAACACCGGATGGTCAAAATGTCCGGAGCCCTCCACCACGGCGTCTCTCAGAATTACGTGTCGTGATTTCGGGAAGTAAAGCGAAAGTTGTTCATTTACGTTCATTCATAACTACGAAAATCGCATAATTTCAACGCATTTCCTGGTTCCCCCAAACGTATACATTGATCAATGGCACAAAAATCACGTGCACTCGGTGGCCATTTCTGGCCTGCAATCCGAACAATTCTCGGAGCGTGTCAGGCTTCGAGCATAGTAAACATGCGGTGCAAAAGAGCGAGAACAGTATTCGAGAAAAACTCAAACGGCCGCGGGTTTTTGGAAAGGCAGGGTAGCCATCCTAATTGTGCATTAGTGAGCTATAGTTTACTTCAGCAGCAGATGCGGAGCTCAGTACTTCTGTTTCGAATCTTGGCGTATAGGCCATGGGCGTACTTTCCGAAGAGCGGCCATGAACGCTATGACCATGTCGTTAGCGACCGTAGTTTTGAACATAGCGATTGTGGCAGTCTCTGCTCCAGCATTCTGACTTGGCACTATGCGTGAATTATGTAAGAATTAAAGAAAAACAAATATAACGAAAAACGTTGAAGCGTTTTAACCACGGACCACATGGTGGCAAAAAATTTGCTTGCTACATAGTGATGCCGAATGTGTTATGTGTCGTTCCCCGTGCGATTAAAAGTGACCACGACACTGATTTTTTTCAAACTGACATCGAATCCATCAATTTAAGGAGTTCATCATGCAAATGAAGCTAAATCACCCCGAGACTAAGCTATTCTCTTTTACGCGAAATGCCATCTGTCTCCCCACTTCATAAACTCTTAATCACACACCCGTAGAATCAGCCTCGTCATACACATATCTTGAATTTCACATCCAATCTGACCTCTCCTGGAACCATCACATCGAACACATTTTTGTAAGTACTAACCGCTCCCCCAGAATGTTAAAACGTGATCCGCGTTACGCTCCTGCATATCTGCAAAAACTTCGGTATATTACCCTAATCTACCATAAAAATTAGCACGCTTCAGCGATATAAAATCTAAATCAAGCATGTATCATTGATTACATATATGAAAAACCTGCAGAACTGTTCTGGTCGCTTCATTTTCTCTGACTACTGTCGTTTTAATAACGTCACTGCCTTGAAGGCTCGTGCTGGTCTTGATAACCTTTGCGATTATTGTAAACTTGATCGCTTATCTATATTTCATAGAATCTGTCACTATCCGTTGCTTCATGTGGATTTTCTCCAGTCGCCCTTTGCCGTCTTTTCACGCCGTGATCCCCTTCTCAAGGTCTAATCTATCACATGACGTACCTCATCTTTAGCTAATTGGTTCAATCCAAAAACCATCAATGAATAGAACAAGCTGCCTCGAATTATCACAGCTGAAGGGAACATTTCGTAATTTATTCAACTTTTAAAAAATGGTAACCAAGTTTAATGTTTTGTTCTGTTCTCAATAATCCATTTCATGATTTGCATTTTCTATTATTATGCTATACGGTGAAATTTCGTAGTGATTTAGAACATTGTTTTACAATATATCTAACAGATGTTGCGTCATTGTGTTTGCAAGGTAATGTTTTTTGTTTGCACCTATTAGACTAATATATATATATATATATATATATATATATATATATATATATATATATATATATATATATATATATATATATATATTTTTATATATATATATATATATATATAAGGTTGTACACGGGAGACTATTTATTGGTCAACTGCCAGCTCGTAAAAAGTTCACGTGCTACGTGGTGCCATACAGGCTCACAAAAAGAGTGAAAGAATGTACCACCCTCGCCGCAACGGCTATAGGTGGCTCTGACTGATACTCCCACGTCTAATTTCACAGATAAACGCAGTAACAATGGCTAAGGCAATAGCCGCCGCGATAGCTCAGTGGTAGGGCATCGAACGCGTTATTCGGAGGTCGTAAGCTCGACTCCTGCTCATGACATGTTATTTTCTCACCCACTTTTCTTTCTTCCTATTTACTTCACATTGGTCCTAATAACTCCTCCTATACATTCCTTGGCATTATTGTGTGTTAGATCTCATTAATATTGTGTCAAAACACGGAAAAACGAGCCATTAGGCATACACTTTTTTCCCTTATTCATTAACGAGGGCCTCGTACTGGCAGACTTGGTGCCTTTAGGTTGTACACGAGGGACTACTGGTCAGCTGCCAGATCGTAATAAGTTCACGTGCTACGTAGCGCCATACAGGCTCATAAAAAGAGCATACCACACTCGCCGTCATGGCTACAGGTGGCGCTGACTGACACTCAAACGTTTAAATACACAGATAAACCCAGTAAATGTGGCTGGGGGAATAGCCGCCATGATAGCTCAGTGGTAGGGCATCGAACGCGACGTTATTCGGAGGTCGTAGGTTCGATTCCTGCTCAGGGCAAGTTATTTTTTCACCCACTTTTATTTCCTCTTATTTACTTTACATTGGTTCTAATACCTTCCTCTATACATTTCTTGGCATTATTGTCTGTTAGATCTCATTAATATATATATATATATATATATATATATATATATATATATATATATATATATATATATCCAAGGCATTTGTAGTAACCCCCCCCCCCCCCTCCCCGTGAGGACCTTTAGGGGTTTTTAGAAAAAAAATAAAAGGTAAAGTGCCGGCATATATTTCAATGGAAAAAATTACGGGTGATTGGGGGTATTGGTGGTGCTGGTGGTGGTGGTATGTAACAACGGATGGGTTCGATAAGCGTTCAGGCTTAAGACACGGGGATCGAAAGCAGCGATCACAATGTGAACGAAGTCGCGAATGAAGAACATTGCGTCTTGTGCGCTTATTCTATGCAAAATAGGCACTCAATTTTTGAGTGCCTATAAAGCTGAGCACCAACAGTTTGTTGGTGCTCAGCTTTATACAATCTCAATTCAGAGGGAAAGAGGGAGGAAAGAAAAAAAAAGAATAGGAAAAGAAAAGAAAAAAAGAAAGAAAAAAACGAGAAAAAGAATATAAGGTGGACTCCCTACGGGTGCCCCCCTTCCACTCTTCATTCCACTTCCCCATCCAACTCTCTCCCTTTTCTCCCCTTCACCTTTTAGATGTCAGCGGTCTGCATATGCTCCCTTTCACTAACGCATTCTTCCCGACCAGATGGCGCCTCCTGGCTCTGGCGGTTCGGTGTGGGGCAAAAAGAGCTCTTTTAAGAAGTTTAAGCCTTTAACTACTCAGCGCCCCGTCGACATTTCGTCGTAGAAAGAGAGGTGCCGCGTATTGCGGTAGAGGCTGGTAAGCGGGCGCAATGCGAATTCCTTGCTCGCTTCTGGATTACGCGGGCAGTAGGGGCCTGCCGACTGTGCACAGGGTTGCTGTTGAGCATGTCATGCTTGGCACAATTGATTGGGTAGTAAAGTAAAAACAGAAAACAGACGAAAGCTGTACTTAGAAAGAGTAGTTACACTTACAGTTGTTTTGAGTTGTCCAGTGCCCTTCGCAGCTGCAGCGCCGTGAACTCAGTTACTATTTTCATTATTGCCGTTATTGTTTTCTAATGCTTTAATTGCTGCAAGTGTACCAAGATTCTCATTTATTCCTCTATGAAGGGTGTTAAATCGGTGGATAAGATATGACTCTCGTTGTTCACATTCTCGGTTTGATTTAGATCCCGTCTCTAAGAGCGGTACTGATAGTTTGTCGAATGCATAGTCAGAAAGATTAAGATGTTTTGATAGGGGTAGATTTGGGGCTGATTTCGCATGGGCTCTGTGATTATTTAAGCGAATCCTAAATGGTGTTTCAGTTTGTCCGATGTACTACATACTACACACGTTGCATACGAGTAGGTATACCAAAATTAGAGGAATACAATGTGGTATACCTACTCGAATGCAACGTGTCTTTTTTCCTCTTTCCCTCTGATTTGAGATTGTATAAAACTGAGCACAAACAAACTGTACCTTCAATCCTGATAAAGGCCGGACTCTAGGCCGAAACGTCGAAATTAACCACGTTGCGGCCGCTCACGGAGGATCTACTTGACTATATGCAACGCTACGGCCACTCCACCACCATGCCTGCCTATATATATATATATATATATATATATATATATATATATATATATATATATATATATTATGAGATATAACAGAAAATTATGCCAAGGAATGTTTAGGGGAAGCTATTAGAACCAATGTAATTATGTAATGTAAATAAGAAGAAAGGTGGGGGTGAAAAAATAACTTGCGTGAGCAGAAATCAAGCCTACGACCTTCGAAAAAGGCGTTAGACTCTCTACGACTGAGCTATCACGGCAACTACCCCCCCCCCCCCCAGTCACTTTATTGGGTTTATATGTGAATTTAAACGTGAGAGTGTCAGTCAGCGCCACTTGTAGCCATGGTGGTGAGTGTGTCACTCTTTTTTTATGATCCTGTATGGCGTCACGTAGCAGGTGAAGTTATTACGAGCTGGCAGATGACCAATATTCTCTCATATACAACCTAACGGCACCAAGTCTGCTTGCACGAGACCCTCGTTAACGAATAAGAGAAAGAAGTGTATACCTAAGGGCTCGTCTAAACACGTAAAAACGAGCCCTTAGGTATACACCACTCATTATTCTCTTATATATATATATATATATATATATATATATATATATATATATATATATATATATATATATATATATATATATATATATATATATATATATATATAATTTGTAGCTCCCCTGGTGCAAATGTTATCTGTTCTGAACGTAATTCTGAGGTGCTGCTGCTTCATGTATATATTTTGATTTTGCCCTCAACAGGATAGGCTCAGTGCACGATGGCTCTACAAATAGCCACAGCAATGTCAATATGGCTCTATGTCCGGCGAGCGAGAATAAGATCATGTCACCGACAGCAGGCACATACAAGCGGCAGGAGTTCTCTTACTGCAGTACAGTCCAAGTGGCACAGTTTATACTGTAAGTGTTGACAAATAGACTGGGAATTGATGAACGTTACTATGAATCTCACTAAACCGTAGTTTGTTAACACGTAAGCTTTGTAGTATATTTTATTTTCCTTATCGCGCTTACTTCAAGAGTGAGAACACAATGTACGCAAACGTCTAAGATGTCAGCTTCTCCGACCCAGGTGAAGTGAGAAACAGCATAGGTTTGTTAGCCGGAGTGTAATTTTTTTTTTTGCAGCAACGAAGTATTGAATAGAAGTGTTATACTATGAAATTTTGTAGTGAATATTAGACTGACTTCTACTGCAGATATATACAGTTGTGCCCTCGAAGTTCAGGAAACACAATGATAGAGCTAGTCCTCACTGAAAATTGGGCGTCCTACGTGTACATTTAGTGTAATACCAAGTTAGCCTGTGCTGAAAATGTTGCAATAAAGAGCAGACAAGGAGATGACTATATAGGCAACAGATATGTCGTAAGTGACGTCATTCATATGAAGTGAAGTTACTTCAACGAATATTTATAACGCACAGTATGAACCAGAGCTAAGCAGGAACATACAGTTACCGCAACGAGTAATCGTAGGCCATGTGCGAGATGCACGTTTTTTGATATTGCCAGCTAAATTATCGCTTTACCATAAAATATATTCAATCAGTAGCTAAGCAATAGCAGTTCAAATAATATTTAGTGATTACTTATCTTAAGTGTTGGCCACGAAATACCGAGCCGGTTGGCTAAAGACTGCAAATAGAGGTTGAACTTTGATACTGATGATAATACGCATTAGGGCTGGCTCAACATTGTCCAATCTCGGCTCGTGTTGAAGTATGTTCGTTTTGATGTCGTTACAGCTAGTGTTTACGCACTTACATTGCTTCAGTATTAATTCTCATAAGACCGAAGTTCATGCGAAGTTTGAGCCAATTCTTCAAGAAGTACCTTTCGCGCCTATGTTTCACCTAATTGTTTCGACAAGTGGGCTTGTCTTTGTGGCAGCATCACAAGGCACCATAAATGCCTTTCTAAAGTCAACTCCAGACGTTGGCTTAGAAGATGTTTGCACTTCAACGATAGCTTACGGACAATGACACCAAGTAAAATATATGGGATTTCTCTAGAAGTAATTGTAATGTAAATATGAAGAAAAAAAAAGTGGACGAAAACTTAACTTGCCGCTGTCACGAGACGAAAGAATGGAAGGCTAGGAGACAAACAAGTGCTTGTCCTAGCCTTCCGTTCTCCCGTTCACTGTGTGTGCACCAAAATGTTACCACAAATGTCATTATATATCTTCATGACAATTATAAGCATTTATTTACACTTCTTTTCTTCATTCACAGCGAGGATCTCGTTCTGGCAGACTTGATGCCTTCAGGTGGCGTACGTAATATTGTTCAGTGTCGGCTCGTGTGGAAGTACGTTCGTTTGGATGTAATTACAGCTAGTGTTTACGCACTTACATTGCTCCAGTAGAAATCGTAACAAGACAAAAGTTCATGAGAAATTTGAGCCAATTGTTCATGAAGAAATACCTTTCGCGCCTATGTCTCACCTTTGTTTCGACAAGTGGGCTTGTCTTATTGGTCACCTGCCAGTTTGTATTAAGATCACGTGCTACGTGACGCTATTAGGCAAATGAGAAGTGTTCTACGCTTGCCGTAGTGACTACTTGTGAACTCGCAGCTGTGAGTTCACGCTTGTTTGTCTCCTAGCCATCGGTTCTCCCGTCCACTGTGGGTGCACCGTCATGTTACCAAGAATGCGGTCAAACCAACTCACCCAACTTTTCATTTTATTACAATATATTATGATGCCCACTTGGATCACAATAAATTATAATTATATTTTTCTTAGTTGCTTCTCACGACCGCTTTCAGACGGGTATCTATGCTATTGCAGGAAAAATGCTCTTTACAATGATCCCCAAAGTACCCTGATCACTGGTTTTAGCCTTGTTTCGTTGTCATTGAATAATGCAACATGTTTTGAAACACTAGACATCACTATGATTGGTGCACATATTACCATAATAAAATATTGAGTCCTGTTGAATACTAAGTTTATTTGTGATTGTAACAAATAAATAAACGTATGAACGAACAAGCATAATATCAAACAAACGCAGTTTGCCCTTGTTTTAACCACACTGTTTTTTTATTTAGGATTGGTAAAGGGAAGTGCTTGCAAGATAATATCGCTACGCAGCATACTACAAGGCTAACCTTCACTAATGTTAACAAGACAAGGCCGTCGTTGGACGAATTTTGCAGACGCCACTACACAGAATATAGTGGTACTCGTTATACAGAAGTAAGTTGCAGGAAGTTTCCATTTATAAGGTAGCACTCAGTGCAACCTAACGCGACCTGAAGGGATCAAAAATCAGTTTTTTTTTTGCAAGGATGATGTCTAACTGGGAACTTTGTCTTAACATCTCTTTCGAGTTATATGTGGCAGTATTTGTACACAAAATTAGGAACAGGGATGTGTTTGTATTTCACCACTATCCTGTAGCGTAGTCAGAAATTTTTTTCGGGAGGGGGGAAGGTTTGAACCCCCCAACACCACAGCTGGCTACACCTGTGGCTACCTCCGATAGTGGTGGAGCGCAAAGCAGTCGTACAACCACTTATGGTTAGCAAAAGACTGTGTCCTTGGAGGACGTACAACACGCTATAGTGTGCCTGCAGAAAAAGTGTGGGATACATTGTTGAGCTCCTCAATGTTAAATTGAATTTTCATATTCAAATGCTTCTTGTAAAATGCCGCAATGATTCAAAGACGGTACTGAAAAGTAGCTCATCTAGCAGAAGTAGCGTCATGGGCGACATTGTCTACGAACGAGAAATCGCGATGGATGAAAAAAATAAAAATCAACGATTCGAGGTGGTATCGAACCCAGGCATTTGGTGTGAAAATTGTCTGTTTTACCAGAAAGGTACGCCATTGCTTGAAACTACATATATATATATATAGAGAGAGAGAGACAACACCCAAGCACTCTGTACCGATTACAGTTAACCAGCGAAGCTGAAACGTATGGCCATAGGCGGTTACAGACGTCACAACCGAAACCAAAGGGCTGCCCGGGAAGCTTCTGCTGAAAGCGGGCGTCGACCCCAAGGTCCCAAACAAACGCGTTCACGCCATTTTCATATTGATGCTGTTCTTCCTACAACGCCACTTCTTCAGCTCTCCGTTGTCGCTTGCATGAGGCTTTTAAGGCTATTCCTTGGTGCACAGTTTCTCTAGTGCTTCGCTATACCCAAGTTTGTCCTTGTGCCCGTATGGCTGCATCGGCCGCGGTGAACATGAATTCTCTCCCGAATCAGCTGCCGGTGTTGTTATTGAAAAGTTCTCCGGTGTTCGGTCATTCGTATCATCCACGCACTCTACATGTGCAAGTTGCAATTTAAAATTCCTGCGCGCGTGTTCGGCCACAGGGCTGCAAAGTGATGAACGACGGTGCTGGCCATGGCATGCGCGCTTGGATGAGAGGTGGAGAACCACATAACCAACGATGCAGCCAATAGAGACCATTGCCGTTTCTAAGTGGTGAACAAATTTTCATGTCGCCTAGCGAAATATATATATAGCCCCGCCGTGGTGGTCTAGTGGCTAAGGTACTCGGCTGCTGACCCGCAGGGCGCGGGTTCGAATCCCGGCTGCGGCGGCTGCATTTCCGATGGAGGCGGAAATGTTGTAGGCCCGTGTGTCAAATTTGGGTGCACGTTAAAGAACCCCAGGTGGTCTAAATTTCCGGAGCCCTCCACTACGGCGTCTCTCATAATCATAGAGTGGTTTTGGGACGTTAGCCACACATATCAATCAATCAATCATATATACATATATATATATATATATATATATATATATATATATATATATATATATATATATATATAATTAAACCTTACGCAAGCGTTACGAAGACAAGAAGTCTCGGTACCAAATTTTATATTGAGCGGCAGCAGCGCAGAATCGCACCGACCATCACGTATTGTAAACTGCGCAATGACAGGGTGTAAAGGCTCACTCATTACAACGCATAATTATTAAACATCAGCCATAATTATTGAACATCACCACCTACGGCATCAATAAGCTGTGCAGCTGCTGAGCGGCGTGTATCGCCTTATCGCCAAACGTTCGCGTAGTGGGCACCGATACTTGCAAAATGATGCATTATGCCTTAGTGGACGCTAACACTTGTAGTAGCTGTAGGCACCATAAGAGAGCTTACAATGTCCACTGTCACCACATAAGCGTTTCCTTATGCGTAGTATGGTTGAGGTCAATACCTGAAAGTGAAGCATGGTGAACGAATGGGAAGTGACGTGAGCAGGGCTGATTACGCTATTGCGATTACGTGCGAGGTTTAGGTGTCCTGCAAATTTCCCTAATCAAACAACTACGCCACGAAATATTTCTGAATTGCTTTGACAGAAAAATGTCAATCAAGAAGTCTAGAAAACATGTTCCATTAGTTTACGTCTCCATAATAGAAGTGAAGAATGATGGACAGAAACACGTGGTGCAGTCACTGTCTAAACATTTTTTCATTATTCTCAATATATCAGAAGAAGAACACTTAATTTTTAGGTACGTAATTTTCTAATGAAAGCATACTCGGCAGTTCTGTCAACTTCTTCAGTCATAGATGCTGAAGCACGCCAGCTTTTTATACGGTGCCACAACTTTCATCGCACAATTCAAATGTTTACGAGGGTTTTATAAAATCACATTTTACAAATTACTGGCGCCTTTACTGAGTAAAACACAACGCACACTTTTTGCTTATTGCGTGTTGATGGTGATTAAAACTTTTCGTTAAAATATGAGAACTTTATGAAGTTACAGTATCGTCTTCTTATTGCGTAGCTACAGAGCTGATTAACTACAGGAATGATTAAGTGTACAGCTTTTGTATACATTTGTGAAGAATTTACTTAATATTGAGAAAATTTTTTTGAAATAGTTGACAGGTTTATTTTTCTTTCTATTGCGATGAACCTCCATGAATTCATGGTATTCATTGCTTTAGAAAAATAATTCTAAATTTCTTGTTACTAACAATAAATTAGAATCAGTGAAAAAAAAGGAAATAACAACAAATATTATGGTTATATCAGATGTGGAAACGAATGACTCGATGTTGTCAAACATGAAATATTACAAGTTGAGATAGGAGCCAGCAAGGCAGAGTTTGTTAATGATTTTATAAATGAAGGAGGTAGAAGAAGTAAATACGGGAAGGTAAATCAGGTGAGCGTCTGATTTCATATCCTACACTGGGGGAAGGGACATTTCAGGGATGGAATCAGAGTTATGGAAAGAGAATATAAAAACCGACGAAGGATTGCAAGCACTTGACGTAGAACGTCCAGTACCTGATCTACGGCCTCGGTGTGTCGTGATTTCAGCCGGCCGACCAACACTCGAACTATGTCTTACAGTGATTGAAGAGCTATTACGATAGCTTTGTATTCTTCTAGCAATGCCGAAAAGCGCTGTGAATCTAGAAGTCGCTGATTTGATGAACTTTTGAATATAGCAAAGAGCTCCAAAGTAACACACCGTCGAGATCGATATGAATGCGCATGAGGTACATAATTTATTTTTAGTAACGTAGCACTTTCTCAAACAGTAAATGGTGGAATGAATTTACCTTCCAGTCTGGGATAAATAGACTGAGCCTTGAAAATTGCATGATAACATGCACGTGGCCTACCAAACCAGGTCATGTAATTATCAACGACGCACCTGATGGCACGAGCTGCAGCAAATCAGCACCGCATTTGGTAAGTTCAACAACGTACGCTGTAACGATCCTATCTTTAATAATAACAGAGGTAGTGCTTTTCACACTTCGTTTTTGTGCATGTTGGTTCTTCTTCAGATTTGCATCAACGGTAAATGCACTCACATTGAAGATGTCCAGACATTCGGAGACGATGTTAAGTACTCGGTGGACTACTTGCGTTAGACCTCGTGAAAATATGATAATCGAATTCGCAAGTCATCAACAAATAAAGTGTCATGACAACATTTTCGCGTTTACCGAAAAGTAAACAGAAATACTAAAATGATATTCACAACAGAAAAATTTGACAGTGTTGAACCAAAATAGTCTGGCCCACCAGTTTTTAACGAGCACAGTGAACACAAATATACAAAATGGGAAGAAGAAATTTAACGACATTACGACATTATTTAACGACAATGTCATACGGGCAGTGTTGCGAATTAAGGGCTGTTTGAAATATTTTGTGGCAGCTTATTTCAAAAATACTACGACTCATGTAACAAGGTGGGTACTTGGGCTGGTTGGTATTGCATACTAAAGAAAAATCCTTCCTTTGAGAACAGAACGTCCAAGAGGTCAGATAGTGTGCTCTCTTCAATCTGTCTTCTCGAAAGTTCTGTGTACGAAAAGAGGATTTCTTTTAGCACGAAAGTGTTTTATGCCGGGGTCCACTATGACTCTGCAGACGTATTTCCGTCACAAATATGACGTTGTGAAACCTGTAGCAACAGATAACAAAGAAAAAAAACGTAACTTATTCCCGTATATGGGAATTGGTATATCACCAAAGTTAAATGTTTTTACGGAGGTAGTTGAGCGTTCATTGCGCACTGTTTGAGGAGAAACTACAAATGGCAAAGTCACATTAAGGACGGCAAGCAGCTCGAAACTTGCAGCGAACTCCTCTAGCAGAAAGCAAGCACAAAACCCGCATACACAGGACGAGCACGGACTACCAACTGTCCCAGCACGACACTTGAAGCGCACTGTTCAAACAGAACGAAAGACGCACGAAACGAGCGCACAAGCAAACAGACGAGAAGCGCGAACAACTGTCAAAGTTCTTCCTGCGACGTGTGTTAGCAGCGCACTCTTTTCGTAAGCGCGGCAGCACAGCGTGCGAAGTGACCTTCGTCTTTTCCCGAACTACGAGTCTGATAAGCGCGCGCGCAAGAGAGACCACGCTCCGTGCAGGCGGCGCTTCGCGTAGTCGATGACCTTTAGAACGCGACACAACGCGAGCCCGTCACGCCATCTCGCCACTGGTAACAAGAATACGCTAAAGTTTGAAGCTATCGGGGCTGCCAAAGGGTGTATTATGTATATAAATAACTTGCCGTTAGAGAGAGAGTAAAACTTTATTGAAGGGGAAAGGGAGAGGGGCGTTTTAGAGCCTTTATGGTTGGGGCCCTACGTCCAGGGCTCCACTGGCCTTAGCCGCCCGCCGGACTTGATCCAGTAGTGCGAGCTGCACTCCTGGGTCCGAGCTAGCGAGGTGTGCCTCCCACTGCTCCATACTAGGTGTTAAAGGTTCGCCGAGAAAATTGGTTATGTCGCTTGGTTTACGATCGCACCCCCACGATATGTGGTAGAGAGTCGGTCTTCCGCCGCACCACGGACATACAGCCGGGTAAAGAGTTGGATGTATCGCGTGTAACTTCAGTAGGTGCGGAAATACATCCGTTTGAATTTTTCTAAGGTCAGTGGCCTCTTCCCCATTAAGGGATCTGTGAGGTGTTCCACATTTTTGACGCGTGAAGCGCTGGTGAGCTAGAATCTCCCTAGGTAAAATTGGCATGGTCAATGAAAGAGATGGATTCTCCGCTCGGTTACAAAACGCACGAGCTAGAGCGTCCGCCCTTTCATTGCCTTCGAGACCTGCGTGTCCCGGGCACCAGATCAAGCGATGGTGGTGAGTGAGTTTGGATCCTAGCAGCCTCAGCCCCATTGCTGGAAGGCGGCCCCTTAAAAAGAGCCGGCAGGCTTCCTGGGAGTCGGATAAAATAACTGATGGCTCCCCTCTACGCTCCTGAAACCTTAAGGCTAAGGCTATGGCCATCGTCTCCGCCTTTGTAGCCGAGGTCGTGCGTACGGAGGCACTCGTTAGCAGCGTCATGTTGTTGTCGACAACAGTAATTATGTGTCTCTGCCAATCGAAACTGGCCGCATCGACGTACGCGACATTTGAAGCTGAGCCGAATTGCTTTCGAAGCCAGTTTACCCTCGCAGTACGTCGCTCAGCGTGAAAGTCGTGATGCATATTTTTGGGCACCGGTGCGATTGAGATTCGCCTGCGGACCTCTTGGGCTACGTCGACCAGCTCCTCATCAATGTGCTGTGGGTGGGGCGAAATTCCTATTCTAGTGAGTATCGCCCTGCCTGCTGAAGTTTCACTTAGACGATTCCTCTGAGACATGAGGACTGCGGCACTGAGCTCAGCATAAGTGTTATGTATACCGAGAGCTAGGAGCCGCTCGGTCGGTGTGCTGGTGGGTAGACCAAGTGCTGCCTTAAAAGCGCTTCTAATGAGCACATCCACCTGGCTCTCCTCACTTCTGTCGAGTGAGTGGTACGGTAGGCCATACGTCACTCTGCTCAAAACTAAGGCCTGGACAAGCCGGAGAGTATCCTTTTCTTTCATGCCTTTTTTATGATAAGTGATGCGACGGATCATTCTAGCTATCTGTTTAACCGTAGTCTTTAAGGTGGTTATCGTGTGACTGGCTTTGCCATTGCTTTGGACCCAGAAGCCAAGTATACGGGCCTGAGTAACCTCGGTTATGGCATGGCCGTCTACCTGTAAGTTTATGTCACCGTTACTTTTGTAATACTTACTGTGTATTCTTATGAGTTCAGATTTTTCAGGCGCACAGCTCAGCCCACTTTTTCTTGCGAACTCTGCCACAGCTGTCGCAGCAGCCTGGAGGGTCTGCTCTTTCAGCGCCAGTGAACCTTCGTAGCCCAGAGTGTGATGTCGTCCGCATACAATGTATATCCAAGGTGCGGGATTGCTTCGAGCTCGTGAGCAAGTCTGCGCATAGCTATGTTAAAGAGCAAGGGGGAGATGACTGCCCCTTGCGGTGTGCCTTTATTTGGCATCGAGAACGGCACCGACCTCGTGTCGCCTATCCCAATAGTTGCCGTCCGCCCAGAGAGGAAGGATTTAATGTAGTTAAATGTACGCTTTCCGCAGCCGATTGTGTTGAGTTCAGAGAGAATGGCCTCGTGCGAAACATTATCAAAGGCCCCTTTGAGGTCGAGGGCCAAGACCAAATGTTCGCCTCCCCTGGGTACGCAACTCATGACCTCTTCTTTTAAAAGGAGGAAGGCATCCTGGGTTGAGAGTCCGGAGCGAAAACCAATCATGGTAGCGGGAAACAGATTTTCTTTTTCAATGTAATTTTGAAGCCGTGTCTGTACTACTCGCTCGTAGAGCTTGCCCATGCACGAAGTAAGCGAAATGGGCCGCAGGGCTCCGAGCGATGGTGCTTTACCGGGCTTTGGTATAGTTATTATTTTGGCTTCCTTCCACTCCGGAGGAACGTGACCTTGGGACCAGCAGTGGTCGTTAAGAAATTGCGTTATCTGCTCAAGAACCTCAGTGCTGAGGTTTCTTATCATAGCGTTTGTTATACCATCCGACCCCGGCGCAGAGTTCCGATTGGCTGCCTGGGCTGCCGCGAAAACCTCTTCTTTCGTGATTGCGGCGTCTAATGTGGCATTCTCGCTGCCGATGTACTCTAATGTACATGGCGGAACCACATCAGTACCGATATAACGGTCTTTAAGCGCCTGGATCAACTCTCCGTCGGTGCCGGGGTAGCTGTGTACTATTCTTTGAAGAATGCGGTTCATGGAGGACTTAGATTTGTCCGGCTCCAGCATGGACCTCAGTATCGCCCACGTCTGGCTAGTCCCTAGTGTACCGCGGAGAGAACCGCAAAACTGCACCCAACCATCGGTGGCAAGTTTCGTTGCGTATTCATTCGCTTCCTCCGACAGAGCAGCGATTCGCCTGTAGAGGCAGCGGTTGAGGCGTTGTTTTTTCCATCTCTTGATCAGGCGTCGCCTACTATCCCACATGTGCAATAGGTGCCGGTCTATCGCAGGCGCCTCAACTGTGCGCGCTATTTTCTTAGAGGTGGCATCATGCGTTTCTCGAATGAAAGCAACCCACCCACTGACATCACAGGGCGTTTGCTCCGGCAGAGGGCGCTTTCGAAAGGTCACCCAGTCTGTCATCACAACGTCACCAGCGACACGACGAACTTTTGGTGATGCTATAGAGGTGCTAAGAATATAATGGTCACTACCAAGGTTTTCATCGAGGTTTGACCACGTGGCATTTTTAATGTTGAAGGTGAAGGTCAAATCAGGGTACGTGTCCCTGCTAATGCTATTACCAAGCCTGGTGGGTGCTGTTGGCAGAGTGATAAGGGTAAAACCTAATTTAGACGTGGTGTTCTCTAATAACACTCCCTTGGGTGAATCCCGGACGTAGCCCCAAGCGGTGCTCGGAGCATTAAAGTCGCCCACCACCACTAATTGATCTCTGGTGCCAACGGCTCGAACTGCCTCGTTTAGGAGTGGGCCGAAGTCGTCTTTCCGGTTTTTGGGAGGACTGTATATGTTTAAAATTTTCGTTCGTACTTTTCCTCGTTTTTGTGGGAAGACATCGATAATTTGGTGATTAATGTCAGTCTGATCGTAATGGTCTAGCGCGACTGTCATGAAGTTACTCACCAGCGCTGCAACGCGGGGGTATTTGGATCGTATAATGTGTAATATCCCTGCAATTTGACGGGACGGTTCCCAACTTCTTGCAGGCATATTACATCAGGTGGGATTAGTGCCGAATGGATGTAATTCTGCAATGCCGCCGCTCGTTTGTGGAACGTGCGACAATTCCACTGCCAGATTTCTAGGTGGTCGGAGTTTTGCGTGGAATTAGTTCGCGCCATGGTGACTACTGCCTTTATTGGGGGGTGTCTGCTTTCTCCGTGATTCGACGGTCCTTCGGTAGTGGACTGCTCGCGGAGGTAACACTGACCCGCTTGTTGATGGCACGCTGAATGCCTACAACTGAGTCATTAACGTATCGTCTTTGTTGTTCCGTTTCTGCTGCAAACTCTTTCCTGTACTCCGAAAACATTTGATGCATTTGCTGCATCATCTGCTCTCGGAGTTCAGACGCTGCTCGTTGCTGTTGTGATTGGAGTTCTCTCATTAAGTTCCGCAAGCTCTGCAACTGTTCCCCCATCTGTAACTGGCTAACGTGGGCCTCCTCGCTAAAC